GAAGTACCCATTTCAAACTCAATGAGAATCAGATTTGGAATAGCTGATTAGTCAGTGGTCAAAAGATCCCACAAAACTGTTACTTCTCCACGAGCTGTTTCGCTGAAAACCAGAAATTCCAGTTATATTAAAAAAAAAAAAAAAGCACAAAAGCCAACAGATATATTGCAAGCAAAATAGACGTTGCAGGACAGCCAAAATACCCATCAAGTACAGAGTTAAAACAATTCCATCTTGTTTTTTTTCTGTCTATTTTTTTCTAAACCATTTTAGCCTGCCAAATTTACATGTACGTTATATTAAAACACAGTCCGCCAAAGACTTAAAATCTGTTTTACAACCTGCCAAAGGCAACCTCCTCCAAAGAGGGATCTAGGGACATCTCCCATAGACAATTATACACAAAAGCTCTCCTCTTACCTAAGGAGTGATACTGTATAAAAACCTCAAAAGTGAAATTCCCCTTTAAATAAAACCGCATATATGCAATGTATGAAGGATGGAAAAAGAAAAGTAAAAGAATAAAAGGTCAAATAGACACCTAATCCTCCTACCTGATCTTTTTCGTTCCGTTCAAATGCACCCCAAAACTTCAGACACCAATTTGTTGGGGATGAAATCAGCTATACATGAAACCCTCTTTGTTAGATGGATATTTTGTCAGAGCCACACCCTCTTTGATAGACAGGATCCTGGGAATCAGTCAAGAAGACAAGAGATGTGTTCTATAACCAATTCAAATTTTATTCATACGTCAGTTATATTTAAACCCCGTTTTCATGTAGGTAGGGGCCATAAGCATTAATGACAGTTTGTTTTTCACAAGTTATGAACAGCTGTTTCTAGTTATTATTCTATGTTATATAACGTATTCATATTGGATAAAAACCAGATGTTTACAAATACCGAAATCTTGGACAATTAACAGGAACATCTCAAAATCATTGTCCAAGAACATATCCCGTAAATAGGATTTTAGATAAATTTTATTTCCGAGAATCGGAGATACAATTCCAAATTTATTCTTGGTTCAAATTAACCCTTATATGAACAGCTAGGATATTAAGCAAAATGGTTATTCGTATCCCACAAAGAGTAGTCCCAGAAGATTGGAAGTTAGCGAATGTTGTGCCCATTCACAAGAAAGGTAATAGGGAGGGGTCGGGCAACTATAGGCCAGTAAGCCTTACTTCAGTAGTGGGGATAGTGATGGAAACCATGTTAAAGGATAGGATTGATGAACATCTAAAAACACATGGATTTCAAGATCAGAGACAACATGGGTTTACTTCAGGGAGATCATGCCAAACTAATCTTATTGATTTTTTTGATTGGGTAACTAAAATTATAGATCAGGGTGGTGCAGTAGACGTTGCTTACCTAGATTTCAGTAAGGCTTTTGACACTGTTGCACATAGAAGGCTTATCAATAAACTGCAATCTTTAAGTTTGGATTCCAATATTGTTGAATGGGTAAGGCAGTGGCTGAGTGACAGGCAACAGAGGGTTGTAGTCAATGGAGTATATTCGAAGCTTGGGTTTGTCACCAGTGGGGTACCTCAGGGATCTGTACTTGGACCCATTCTCTTTAATATTTTTATTAGTGATATTGCAGAAGGTCTTGATGGTAAGATATGTCTTTTTGCTGATGATACTAAGATATGTAACAGGGTTGATGTTCCAGGAGGGATAAGCCAAATGACAAATGATTTAGGTAAACTAGAAAAATGGTCAGAATTGTGGCAACTGACATTTAATGTGGATAAGTGCAAGATAATGCATCTTGGACGTAAAAACCCAAGGGCAGAGTACAGAATATTTGATAGAGTTCTAACCTCAACATCTGAGGAAAGTGATTTAGGTGTGATTATTTCCGAAGACTTAAAGGTAGGCAGACAATGTAATAGAGCAGCAGGAAATGCTAGCAGAATGCTTAGCAGTAGAAAAAGGGAAGTGCTCATGCCAACACTGGTGAGACCTCACTTGGAGTATTGTACGCAGTACTGGAGACCGTATTTTCAGAAGGATATTGATACCTTAGAGAGCGTTCAAAGAAAGGCTACTAAACTGGTTCATGGATTGCAGGATAAAACTTACCAAAAAAAGGTTAAAGGATCTTAACATGGAGGAAAGACGAGACAGGGGGGATATGATAGAAACCTTTAAATACATAAAGGGAATCAACACAGTAAAGGAGGAGACTATATTTAAAAGAAGAAAAACTACCACATCAAGAGGACATAGTCTTAAATTAGAGGGACAAAGGTTTAAAAATAATATCAGGAAGTATTGCTTTACTGAGAGGGTAGTGGATGCATGGAATAGCCTTCCAGCTGAAGTGGTAGAGGTTAACACAGTAAAGGAGTTTAAGCATGCGTGGGATAGGCATAAGGCTATCCTAACTATAAGATAAGGCCAGGGACTAATGAAAGTCTTTAGAAAATTGGGCAGACTAGATGGGACAAATGGTTCTAATCTGTCGTCACATTCTATGTTTCTATGTTTCCTAGTGAGAGGAGAAGTAGCCGGAGACACCATTTTTGGATTTATAATTAAGGGCAATTCTAACGAAAGGTGGAGGAAAAAGTAATTAAAATAATACTCTGGATGGCACTACAAACCAAATAAAAGATCGAGCAAGTATATATTCACAATACAATCTATGATTGTGGGTGTATATATATATATATATCCCCCTTTCATTTTATCCATCTATTTATATATGTCCTGAGTCAATGCATGAGAATAGAAGAGACAGATTAGCGATCGCGACCCACTTCCGGGTCTGTGGAACGCACGCGGTGTACGCGATGACGTCATTCGATTTCATACCGCCGAAATGAAAATTGAACACCAGCTGAAAGACTTCAAACATTAAATGGGGATGTATATAAAGGACTGTGGGAGGGATATTGTTACTGCTATTTTTTATTGCACCTTATCACACCAAGTCCCTGAGGAAGTCCAACCCTAGGACGAAACGCGTAGGACGTTTATGGTGACATGCTGTTTGTTTTATACTTAAATGTAAGTCATTAAAATACTTTTTATTATATTCTAGAAGTGCACTACATTTTTGTACATATTTTTCTCTTGGAGACATACACCCATTTGCTGATGAATATGTGAGGAGGGACAACACACTGGATACTGGAAAATACCATTCAAGGCTGTTTTAACTCCATAAAGATATCATTCAAGGCTGTTTTAACTCCTCAAAATTGTGAGTGACCAATTGTGATTGCACACCAGTACCAGTCTCCACACAGTTGTACGCTATGTTTTTCTATTTTATTTGTATTTAGCAGATTGTCCCCCATTTTATCTGTGTATATCTATTGAAGACAAGAGGAAGTCTTCGGGGATTCATCTGGATACTTCACCTTAAGATAAAGGAAGTCTTGGTTCGCTTCTATATTATATTTTCTTTACTGGGGTTGTGTTCACATATATTGTTTTTTTTTGTTTGTATATTCTGATCCTCATTATTGTGGCACAACCATTATGGCAACTCATTCATTTTCAAATATGCAAAGAGGTAGGAACGTAAGATTTGAAAAAATGTTCCAACAAAACATAGACAATATCCCTTTAAGAGATTCTGATAATTATTACTTTACTAAATTGGAACGTTTAATGGTGAAAGAAACAAAAATATGGTGGTAAGTGTCCTATCTGGAAGGTTATCTCAAAGAGGGATTAATCCCTAGAGCATTAAGAGTGGAAAAAATTCCAGCATGTGGTATAGATAATGAAGAATCCCTAAAAAAATGGGACTCAATCTTAGACATATGTCCACAAAATCTTATGAAATTAATAATTGAATTTGAAAAACAAGGAAGAGAACAAATAGAGATAGATATAAAAACGCTAGAATCTGAAGGAAGCCAAAATATAGAATCCAATAAATGTAAAGAAAAAGAACAAGAAATTTGCAATGTAATTAATAATTTAGAGGAAAAGATTGCAGAGACTAAAAATAATAAAATGAAGAGAGATAGAAGAGACAAAACTTTCAACACTTTCTCCACTAGTAACAAAATTAAAAATAAACGAAAACGAAATTTTGATAGAGATACTAGAAATTCTGAGGGATCATATAGAAACACTTTTTTAAGAAAATTTGACACTTATAAAAGAAACACTTCACCTATTCGAATAAGAAACTCTCCAATTAATCACACACGAAATTCACCCATTAAAACTAGAAGACACTCTAATAACCGCACACAAAGTCCACTTATCACGAGACGAAAAACATTTACTTCAAATAATATTTCACCAACTCAAATTTTTTCTCAACAAAGAGGTAGGAGAGAACCGATTTCTCCAAGTCGGTGTGATTCTCCCCCTAGGAGATCTTATGCCCAAGTAACAAGAACTAGTCTGGAACATCCAGAAGAGAGGGAGAACTTTTTTTTAGAGGGAGGGCCCCAGCACAGGGATGGGAGAATAACCCAATTTTTCAAACCACGTCACAATCACCAAAAGAAAAAGAATGGAGGAGAATCCAAGGAGAGAGGACTCCCTAAGACAAAGATATTAGAGAAACAATATGGAATTTACAACTTAACAGATATAGAGTTATGTCATACTGATTTAAAAGCCTTAAGTAAGGGTTTAAAATTTGCCCCGAATCAGAAAATTAATTTCTTTAATACATATATTGATGTTCTAAAAAGAGAGACAGAAGAAAACATATTCCCAAAAAATATAGATGATACCATTTTAGAACAAAAACAATTTAAAAGGAAATCACATTTCTACCCAGTAGGAGATAGAGGCCCTTTTTTAGAAACTTTTAATAATATGGTATGCCATGATTTAGAAAAATTAGAAAAAGAAAAAAACCTAGGAGAAAATAAATATAATATGAGTAAAGAAGAATCAGCGAGTATAACCAAATTGCAAAAGATGGATACCATAGTAATAAAGGAAGCCGACAAAGGGGGAGCGATAGTCATTATGACAAAAGAATACTATATGAATGAGGCATATAGAATTTTGGGAGACATAGAAACTTATATTAAACTCACAGGAGATCCAACAAAAAAATTTAATACCATTTTGGGATCCTTACTGGATCAAGCTTATAAAAACAATATAATCTCCAAAAATAATAAAGAATATCTCTTTAATAATTTTCCAATAATACCCATTTTCTATTTTCTCCCCAAGTTACACAAGAACCCAATAACCCCCCCAGGTAGGCCAATAATTAGTGGCATTAACTCTGTATCTGCTCATCTATCTGAATTCGTAGACCACCATCTTCAAAAATATGCACAAGAAGCACCTTCTTATTTAAAAGATACTGCACACATTTTAAGAATTTTGGAGAGTGTAATCTGGGAACCCAACTATGTCTGGGTGACCATAGATGTCACGTCATTATATACAATAATAAAACACAACAAAGGTTTAGCAGCAGTGGAACAGATTATGGAGAAAGATGAAAATATATCATCAGATTTTCGAAATTTCATCCTAAATAGCATTCATTATATTCTTAAACATAATTATTTTTTCTTTGATGATTCATTTTATCTCCAGACCACGGGCACAACCATGGGGACCAGGTTCGCCCCCAGCTATGCAAACATATATATGCGGGATTGGGAATCCAAGCATGTATGGAGTGGGCATGGCTGGGTAGCGAACCTGGTCCTATGGAAACGTTTTATTGATGACAATTTTGATTTGGCGAGGTCCACAGGAAGATTTGTCATCATTTATTGATTATATTCATCAAAATGACTACGGTCTAAAATTCACATATGAAATAAACATTACTACCATTAATTTTCTTGATTTAAGCCTTTTTATAGAAAATAACCAGATTCAATCTAAATGTTTCTTCAAAAAAACAGAGGGTAACAGCTTCATTCATAGAAAAAGTTGTCATAAAGATAAATGGTTGGAAACTATACCAAAAAGTCAGCTAATACGAGTGAGAAGAAATTGTACAAAGAACTCAGACTATAGAGAACAGGCTGAACATTTAAAAAACAAATTTGTGGCAAAGAAATATGAAACAACATTGTTAGATAAAGAAATCAAAGAAATAGGAAAAAGGAATAGAAAAGATCTAATAGCATTTAATCCTAAAAGACATTCTAAGGATAATTACAATTTTTCTTTTACCACTCAATATAATACACAACATTGGAAAATAAAAAAGATTCTCAATAAACATTGGAACATTTTACGTCAGGATCCCTTCTTGGGTAAAGTGTTGCCAAGAAAAACACCAGTTATTTTTAGGGGAACAAAAAATTTAAAAAATGTATTAGCACCAAGTTATGCTTTAAAAATTCCACACAAGAGTGTGATTTCAAATATTAGTGGTTTTAACCCTTGTAACTCTTGTAAAGCCTGTAAAAGCCAAAAATTTATACAAAGGAGAGAATTTATGAGCTTTACTACAAAAGAGAGATTTAAAATAAAATCCAATATAAATTGCAATACGAGAAATGTGGTATACATGCTACAATGCCCTTGTGGGAAACAGTATGTGGGGAGAACATGCAGGAAGTTAAAAGAGAGAATATTAGAACATCAAAATAATATTAGAAAAAAAAAAAAATCAGTGAAACATATAGTACCATTACACTGCAATACTTGCAATAAATTTGATTGGCGGAGTTTTACTTTTTTGGGCATAGAGCATGTGGATTCATATTGGAGAGGAGGAAATTTGACCAAAAAGCTCTCTCAAAGAGAAACTTTTTGGATCAATAAATTAAAAACACTTCAACCATTCGGCCTAAACTTAGACATTGATTTGTGGAGCTTCTTTGAAGATTAAGTGAATCATTAATTCTATATTCTGCTTTTTGCGTAATGTTCGGGAATCACTGCACTTTTTCCTCATTCGATAAATAAAGGATTTATATATATATATATATATATATATATATATATATATATATATATATATATATATATATATATATATATTTTATATTTTTTCATATTATTTTTTTATTATCTTTTTATTGTTTCTTTTATTTTTTATTATTTTTTATTTTTATTTTTATTTCTATTTTATTTTATTATTTTTTATTTTTATCTTCATTTTATTTTTATTTTCATTTATTTATTTCATTTATTTATTTATGTATTTATTTATTTTCATTTCACCTTATTTTATGGTTTAGTCCTTATTGTTGTTTAAAAACATAAATTTATTTCATCTGCCTTTAAGAAGGAGACAATTATATTATTGCTCATATATCATATATATATACATAATGTTTACTATATTTTTTAATCACTCAAGATGTTAGATTATATTATCATTTATGCATCCTATGTAAAAAGATATTTTCTCCATATAAATTGTATGAATGGAATGTATATGTCAAATATGTAAGAGAATGTTTTGTGAAACCTGTATTTTATGAAAACGGGAGATATATATATATATATATATATATATATATACACATATACCCACAATCATAGATTGTATTGTGAATATATACTTGCTCGATCTTTTATTTGGTTTGTAGTGCCATCCAGAGTATTATTTTCATTACTTTTTCATCACCCTTTCGTTTTATCCATCTATTTATATATGTCCTGAGTCAATGCATGAGAATAGGAGAGACAGATTAGCGATCGCGACCCACTTCCGGGTCTGTGGAACGCAAGGTGGAACGCACGCGGTGTACGCGATGACGTCATTCGATTCCATACCGCCGAAATGAAAATTGAACACCAGCTGAAAGACTTCAAACATTAAATGGGGATGTATATAAAGGACTGTGGGAGGGATATTGTTATTGTTGCTGCTATTTTTTATTGCACCTTATCACACCAAGTCCCTGAGGAAGTCCAACCCTAGGACAAAACGCGTAGGACGTTTATGGTGACATGCTGTTTGTTTTATACTTAAATGTAAGTCATTAAAATACTTTTTATTATATTCTGGAAGTGCACTACATTTTTGTATATATTTTTCTCTTGGAGACATACACCCATTTGCTGATGAATATGTGAGGAGGGACAACACACTGGATACTGGAAAATACCATTCAAGGCTGTTTTAACTCCATAAAGATATCATTCAAGGCTGTTTTAACTCCTCAAAATTGTGAGTGACCAATTGTGATTGCATACCAGTACCAGTCTCCACACAGTTGTACGCTATGTTTTTCTATTTTATTTGTATTTAGCAGATTGTCCCCCATTTTATCTGTGATTTTGGGATATGTTGGTCACCCAGATCAGGGCTATCAGGGGATGTAACTGTGAAGGACTGCCTGGCACCCCGATCGGGTACCTCAGTCAGTCGATGCTCCTTGTGCTTACCGAGGGGTCCAAGCACTCCACCAGACAACATTAGCACTGCAGACTCCATGAACCGCCGCAGCTTGGTTGGAGTTTCGCCATCCTTCACCCATTCTGTTGGCAGACCTCTCCTACTCAGGAGAGCGAAGAAGAAACAGCTCTTAGAAGAGCTAGTGATTATACTCAGGAGAGTAACGTGATTATAGCAGTCCCCAGAGTGTAGTTCTCCAGTCCCTCAAACATGAGCCAAGACTTCATGAAGGTGTTTCATGGGAGCCACAGCTGGCCAATTATCAAGTCCGCATGCAAGGGATCACCCACGTGGACCTTGTGGGGAACAGGGTGACAATTGTTACAAGTCAATAACAATGCAGTACAGTAGGTGACAATCCCACTCATTACACACAATCCCTTCCCTCATCCCTGTAGATAATTGAGTGAAGTCCTGTATGTAACTCAAGTATCTCCAAGCAGAAAAACACACATTTTTACAAAGTATGAAAAAGTACCCCAAAACTCAACATATCCCCATAAATTGCCAGATCCCCTGATAGCCCTGATCTGGGTGAACAACATATCCAAAAATCCCCCAGATCAGAGCAGGGGTTCAGGAAATTCTTGGAAGTCTCTTTTTGACTTACCACACACATGATTTCATGCCCAAAATAGTTACAGAGAATTAGGCTGTGTGGCCAGTCTATTTAAAACAGTCAAAGTAAAGTTCAAATAGTCGAATGGAGCCATTTGTGCACTGAGTCAGGCAGTGTATTGGGTTCGGTAGATTATTTCTACCGAATGGCGCTCCATTCATGCAGTTCTAGTGGAACCTAGCTGGAGGTGGAAGGCCCAGTGGTGTTTGTCCTGTCGAGTGTACGATTTGAGTTCCATGAGCTCGACGACAAAACACTGCTGAACACGTTCGACTAAACAAGATGGCTGCCACCACGTGTTCAACTACACGAACAGCGACGCCCAGCAGTTAGTCAATTTGGCCCAGTTAACTACCAGCCTGGTAGGTAAATGGGCTGCACACTGCACTTGCATGTGGTCCAACTGTTTGGTTGTTTGTTTAGGTAAACGAACACCATAGGCATAATCCATTCGGTAGTCCCATATACTGAACTGTAGAAGGGAAAAGGTATGAACAAAGCCTTTCCACAGTCCTGAATCCAGGTCTAATATATGGGCCAAAATACTAGGACAAGAGGCTGGCAAGCAGGTGTCAGGGTGGTACGGTCCGGTGCCCGGGACCCAGACACTGTCCGGGCGGCGGTGCAAGGACCTGGACCCATGTATGCCTGATGTTCAGAGTAGGAGTCACAGTGTGGAGATGGATTAGCAGGGTCCTGTGCAGGGTAACCGCACGCCCCCTGGTGTTGAGCACCAGCGTTTGTGCAGCCACAACCAGAACCCTGATTCAGCTTAAGCGGATCCCAGGAACTAGGAGCAGGTAATTAAGCAGACCTCCCAGGAGCTGAATAGGGAGGCTCTGCAGCAGGAGTGTATCCAGCACTGAAGCAAGGCAAGACTAGAGATAGGCACCATACAGGAAAACAAGACAAAACTAGGAGAACCCAGAACAGGACAGAAAGCAGAACCTAGAACATGTACACAAGACATGAGGAAAACAAGAACATAACATGGGCATGACTGGACAGGACTATACATGGACTGGGATTACAAGAATAAATAAAACAAGACAAGAGATACAAGGTAAAACAAGAGGAGACCTAGCTAAGCACTATATATGAAAAGTATGGGGATTTAGTCACATTATATGATCATACATTGCATAAGCCTGCCAACAACGCCAATGTACCCCATATCTGGCAGGTCCTACACTGCCTAATGTATGCTAAAACAACCACACTAAACCACAATAGCACTTACCTGCAAGAAAGGGCAGAGAGATGAAATACTGCTGCAGGTCCAAGCTGAAACAAAAGGAAAGTGGAAAACAAACGGGTGTGGCAACATAAAACAAACATTTAAGGGAATACAAGAGACTGGGAAATCCAGGGACGGAATATAAGAATTGTGACGAGACCAATCTCGCCACATTGCATTGGAGAAGCCTGGTTGCTCGCCTGCTGCCTTTGGACTATGGCCCCCTGTTAAAAGACATCTTTTTTACCTGCAGAAAAGCTTCATTCGTGCTTTTCTGCCTGGGGTTTGGTAGATTTTGTTGAATGTGTTACACCCCAGATAGGAATCCCATGGAGCCCATTCGTATGAAACTGACTGTAAAGACTTTGGCTCCATGGTGATTAAACTGTATTTGTGTGGTCCGAGCGCCATTCACTTAATAATGTGCGCTCAGACCTGAGCTATCTGGGGATATGTGAAATGTCTGTGTTTTATGTATAAATGTGACTTTATGTATTTTAAAGTGCTTTGTGTCTTTTTGCAACCATGTGCTTAATGGAGTCTTGTGTCTGTCCTGGGAGATAATTCAATTACTTATCTCCAGGATAGAAGACTCTGAAACTGGTTTGGGCCAGAAAGCCATGCTTCATTTAGTCACAAAGGACTTTTTACTAACTTTTGAACCCCTTGTCTGATTTGTGCCATTTTTGAATATGTTGTTCCCCTGAATGGATTGATTGAGAATATGTAATTTTATGTGAATGTGATGTATGGTTTTGGAGTTATGAAAGTTGGGTAGAAAGTATGTTTTAACTGTTTGTATAATTGAGTTTCCTCTCAGGATAAGGGGAGGGAATATGTGGGATGTAACTGTGATATGATTGGTTGTTTTATCCCTCCCTGTGGGTGGTCCTGTATTTGAAACACTGTAATAAAAACCAGGCTGGGTGTGCCAGCACCTCAGACCACTGCTTGACCCTCAACACGGAGCCTTGTCTCGTTCTTGGGGGGATTCACTGTATGCTGTTAGAGACTGATTGCCAGGAGTGTAAGCTGTTCGTCTGCTTTTCCTGTTCGTCTGCTAGCAGCTATTTGGGAGGTTCCAGTTCGGGAGTTGGAGTGCTATTTTGTATCCAGTTCGTGAGTTTTGGTGTTCTGCAGTAGCTGTGCCTGGATCTCTGGAAAGGGGGCCGATCGCCTAAACGGTTTTTACCCCTTGTGTGCAAAACGGTCCGTTACAATTGGTGGCAAGCGGCGGGATCGTTCCCACAGACTACAGGACAGCTACAGGAGACACCATTCCGTGGATTTTACAATTTGAGGGCAACACATGTCTCAGTACAGCGACCCTGACAGCAACAGAATGGAACCAGCAGTGGAGTACAGATACTCTGTACAGGAATTTGACCGTATGATGTGGTTGCGGCTGAACTTCTACGGACCTAATCCAGCTGAGAAATCCGTGAAGTTCGTGAGGAGTCTAGTATTCAAGACTCTGCTGTACCGGGCAGAGGGTGACGGTCAGCTGCCACGGTGGGTGGACCTCCACCGGCAGCTACAGTTGCGGGACAGAGAGAGCCCAGTCTCCTCTCCCCAGCGGCAGTGTGATATGCCGGGAATTGGGAGCCCAGTCTCCATTCCCCAGCGGCAGTGTGATATGCAGGGAATTGGGAGCCCAGTCTCCATTCCCCAGCGGCTTGTGTCTCCATTCCCCAGCGGCAGAATGATGCTTTGGGAATTGGGAGCCCAGTCTCCATTCCCCAGCGGCAGTATGATGCTTTGGGAATTGGGGCCCAGTCTCCATTCCCCAGCGGCAGCACAGATCATTGGGAATTGGGAGCCCCGTCTCCATTCCCCAGCGGCAGAGTGTCCTACCGGGAATAGAGAGCCCAGTCTCCTTTCCCCAGCAGCAGGACTCTGTATTGGGAGCAGAGACAGTCGGTCTCCCTCCCCCGCAGCTGGAAGTATGTATGGGAGAGGAGCTTGTTACCCCCTCTCCCCAGCGGCAGCTTAATGTACCAGGGGGAGACAGTAAGCCCCACAACCGTGCAGATGGGACCGTAGTCTCTACACTGCCAGCACAGGGGGTAGGGACGGTCGGTCCTGCCCCCCAGCGACAGGGCTGTTTAGCCAAAGGGGAGACAATCGGTCTCCCCCTCCAGCAGCAGAGATGGGTAACCAAAGGGGAGACGGTCGGTCTCCAGCAGCAGGACTGTACAGCTAAAGGGGAGACGGTCGGTCTCCAGCAGCAGGACTGTGCATCTAAAGGGGAGACAGTCAGTCTCCAGCAGCAGCAGCAGAGCGGTGTATTTAAAGGGGAGACAGTCGGTCTCCCCCTCCAACAACCAGGCTTCCACCAGGCTACCCTCCCAGTAGCGCTGGCAACAGGGCAGAGTGCCGCTGGTCTCTGCCCACGCAGCAACCCACCAAGTCAGCGTACCCGTACCCAGCACAGCCGTGGTGAGGCACCTGGACATGGACAAGCTTCTCCTTTACCCAGGTGTAGTAACCATTTATTGTGGGTGGGCTGTGCTGTTGATTATTTGTTGTGGGTGGGCTGCTGGACTAACAAGGGCACTGACCGGCAGGAGGTCAGATACCCTGTTAGTCTGTTTGGAAAAGGGGAGAGATGTGACGAGACCAATCTCGCCACATTGCATTGGAGAAGCCTGGTTGCTCGCCTGCTGCCTT